TTTTCATTCACATACTATTATATTTTTCATTAACCATAACAAACATGGTATACAATTTAATTTAGATTTCAATAATCTTAAGAGATAATTTAAAAACATTAAAAACAATTATTTGGTAAATTATATTTTATTTTTTACTTAATAAGTAAATTGATTTAAATTAAAGTTATTATGTATAATTAACGATAATTTTGCCTTCAGTTCACATTTAATGCTAAAATAATTGCGATTCAATAACTTGTGAAAATATCAACCAATTAATGTGTAATAAACCACATAAAATGTATAATCATAAGTTCATAACTACAAAATCTTAAAATTTCCTCAGATGTGTGATGTAGATGAACCAAAATATTATAAACTTTGTCTAATTAAACATATATATACACATATAAACTTGGTCAAATTTTCGTCTAACATTTGTTACTAAATATAATTTTTTATTCATTCAGGTTGTATTTATATATCATATGATATCTTAGGTTAGATGTAATATCATTTATTTGATAATTATCATAAAATTTGTTGATTAAATACTTATTAAGTTGAAATATTAGTTCACATAAATTCTTGTATGAGACAGAATAGCCATTAGGCGGATTGATCCTTCACACTTTTTCTTAATAAAATTATATACGTATGCATTAAATCATTAAACTTTTATTTATGTTGGCTTTCAAAGTATGACAATTCAATTTAAGTGCAGTATACCTTTTGAAAATGTATGAATGTTTAACAGTTAGGTCTGCCTAACAATTAATTCAAATATGAAAAAATAATAAAAATAAAAAGACATGTTAGGATATCTATAATAATTTTGTTAACTCATGTCTACATTATTACACGACTTTTATTAGTTTCACACACAAACCACATCTTTTGGTTAAAATCTATTTTATAATTAATTATTTTATTGTATATAATAGATCTATTTCAATATTCCTTTTTCTAAAGTAATTATATTATAAAATAACATTATAACTATTGCATCAATCTTTTTTTGATAAATAAATAAATAAAAATTTTTAAATTAATACTAATTTTTTTATTAATAAGTTAATAATTTGTTTGCCTATTTAAACCTATTTTGTTTAGCTTTTCTTTTTGAAAGATTTTTGTTCTTGTTGGAATACTATTTTATTGATATTTAATTGTGATTATAAATGACATACTTAAATATTACAGTTTTGCCATTAAAAATAATAGAAACACAAGGACTTTTTTCTCCATGCAATCGTACTTAAAATTTTGTTCCATTAAAATATTTAATTGTACTAATAAATTTATTATTAAAACACACCAAACACAAATGATATCTCAAGCACGCCATTTGAAAAAAAAAAACATTCATAACAACTACATGATCAATAGTTTTTTCTTAAATAAAGAAAAAAAAACAGAACTATAATTTTTTTAAACGGTACATTTTTTAAACAAAAAAATCTTATATACATTAATGAAACTTAAAATGAAAGATTTTTTGGAATACTAAGTGATTGCTATTATTTTTCAAGAATATTAATCAATACATATTGTAACCCATATCATTAATATTAAGTTTTTTTGGTGACCTTAAATAGTTTAATAATATCAAAATGATTTAGAAATAACTTTTACTTTTAAGATACACTATAAGTAAAATAGAATAACTATAAATGATATCAAAAAAAAAGTTCTAGATAAATGAAAGGTCGTACCCCCACGAGGGCCATGTATGGTTCCTTAGTTTATTTGACATCAAAATACGATTAGATTTGCACAATCACTAAATGATATCATAGAAATTTTTTGTGAATATTCCATCTTTTATGTATATTAGTTGCGGACTCAACATATAAAATAAATGATATAATTAACAAGAAATTAAGCAACGTAGGATGAGTTTGAAACAATTATGTAATTGTATATAATTATTTCAGTTGTCAATATATGATAGTACAAATATTTATTAAAGTGTATTTTAAATAAACTATTGATATCGTATATTCTTACAAATTATCAAGGGTAAAATGGAGCAAAATGACTACTTCAAAACAGGAGGCCACGGCTGGGATTTAGAGACTTTGTATTGTTTAATCAAACAATGTTAGAAAATTAGGTGTGGCGGGTACTTTTGTCTCCTGATAGAGTTCTCAAAGCAAAGTATTTTTTTTCCAATCATTTTCCTTGAGACCAGGGGCCGGGTGGGATCTTTTTTCATATGGAAAAGCATTTGTTGGGGACATTAGGCGGTGCGAGCAGGATTGAGATGGAGTGTGTGGGATGGGGCATTAATAAAAACTTAGTCGAATCCTCGGATTCTCCATTTTCGACATTTTCAGCCCTTCTCCCTACCTGAACTTGAAATTGACCGAGTAAAGGATCTCACTGGGATGAGAAGAGCTTGGAATGAGAACTTGATTAACAACATTTTTCTACCCATTGATGCAGAGAAGATTCTATCTATCCCTTTGAGCAATAATAGAATTTCGGATCGAGTTATCTGGCGCTAATCTAAAAATGGGTCATACACTGTGAAGAGTACCTGCCATTTGCTTAAATCCCTATCAAATGATTCTCGAGAATCAAGCTCTTACCAAACATCTCGATGGTGGAAAGCTTTAGGGAAAATTAATGTCGAACCAAAAGTACAAATATTTCTGTTGAGATTGTGTCAATTGGCTTTCCCTTCTTCCAAAAATTTGACTCGTAGGTCTATTAATGTGGAAGCAAAATGTGCTAGATGTAGAGGCTGAGAATCAAATGTCCACGTGTTTTTGGATTGTGGATGGGTTAAAAGATTGTGGAAAATGGCTGAATGGTAGGATATGTTGGCTAAGTTGGGAGGTAAGAACTTCATATCGATCTTTTGTGAAATTTTGGATGGAAATCAGGGAACCGAATTTCCAGGTTTTGCAATTTTTTGCTTCAACATGGCATATCACCAAGGAATGTAGAACAAATCGGGGTTATCGGCAAAATATGGCTGGAAGAGATAAACGTCGCGCCTCATTTTTGCTCTAGTATTGATTGAACAATTAGCTCGAGATCGATCCTACCTTGGCGTTGCCCAAGTACGTATCTAAATGGGCTTACTATTTTTTGTGACGCAATTGTAAATGATGTATCAATTGGCTTTGGTGGTTGGATCTGTGATTCAAGTGGACTGTGTTGGGCTGCTATTGCCTCTCTTTAACAGCCAGGATCCTTTTCACCGGAATCAATTGAAGCATTGGCCCTCCGTTTTGGACTTCGATTTGCTTTGGATTCATGTAGACGTGTTCAACCATCGGGCGGGTTCACGACCTGGCCCAGCCGCGGGGTCGGCATTTGGGCCCGAAACCGGCCCGGCGATATCTAAAGGCTGGTTCAAATGAATCGGCCCGACCCGGCAGTTCAGGTTTTAAAAAAATAAAATAAAAAAACAACTACAACCCGCCGGAAGACCCGAAACCGGCCCGGAGGGTCAAAAAACAAAAAATCAACCCTGAATCGGCCCTTAAAGGCCAAGGGTCCGGGTCATGAACCGGCATATCCGGGTCAGTTCCGGGCCGGGTCGACCTGTGACCATCTCTAGATTCAGGCTTCATGCTCCAAACCGGCAAAATTCACATTGCTTCTATTATTTTGAGCATCTCAGACCAACATCCTAACAACTCGTTGCACAACGTTTTTGCTGATATTGTTGATCTTTCGATGTCGTTGAATGTTAGAGCTCATAATATAGCTAAATGGGCTATTCAATCAACAGAATCCTTCTTGTGGAAGGATTGTCTTCTGTCTTTTTTCTCTTCTTTCTTTCAAACTGTACCGCGTTCAAACAGTTGATTGTATGAATTCAGGTATTTATTTGAAAAAAAATAAAAAAAAAAATAGGTTGTTGAATGAATTCTTTGCGAGGTGTCGACGAATTTGCTTATAAAAAACATTGCAATTGTAATCAAAAGAACACATCATAAAAAGAACGAAAAAATCAGTACATAATTCATTTTTTGTCCATTTCTATATTTTATGCTCACTTATTTATCTCTTCCAATCATTGTTTTGAGACCAGGACCGGTCG